CATTCTAAATATAATTTTCCCCTTATCCCACAAATAAATATATATGGAAAAACATCCAAACAATCGCAGATTTTATTTAACACAACACACAATTAAAATTTAAAAAATATTAAAACTGTCTTTCATAAAAATTCAATGAGCCAACAACAAAAAGTAAACAATGTTTCAAAATGAGACAGTGTATGATATTCTTTGAAACATGGGAGTATGCTGCATTAGTCACAGGAATATAATATCTGCTGCCATTTTACTCAGCAAATTTGACTCATTTAGCATTTGTATATGTTCTACGGTCAGATAGTGCTTTTGTTTTGCTTAAAAATAATAATAATAATTAAAAAAAAAAAAACTTTCTAATCTCAACACCGGAAAACTCAAAGAGTAATAAAAAAGTCTCTAATGATAGAACATCTACTCCACTATAATGGATAAAAAAATAAAATAAAAATAAGAAAAATTAATAAATTAAATTAAAAAGTATTCCAGAGCATGGAGAACATGTTCATTTGTTTATATAAAATGAAGCAGTAAGAGCCATTACATTACTCAACACTAATGAATTGTGTATATATGTTTAGATACTGCTTTCGTTTGCCATTAAAAAAAGATAGGTTTTGCACGATTAAAAACATTCATCTCAAAACACTAAGTGAGCAAAAATAAAAATCATTGCACAGGAATGATGGTAAACATACTTAACTTTCGATATATTTCCCCATAACAGGCATGCAGCTACATCTAGCGGCAACAAAAAAATATTAATTAAACATTCTATCTAAAAAGTCAAATGTGGTACACCAGGCCGGCCGATAGAGTGAATTAAATGGCGATTCAAGTATAACACATCCGGCAGTGAGGTAATGTTCGCTACTGATGCACATATGACACGCCCGTACTAAACGGGTTAGATAAAATCATTTTTTTAAAATTCTTTATTGAAATCATTTTAAAAATGTATAAATACCCTCTATAGAAAGACATAAAATAACCTTCTAATGTACACATATTGCTGATACATAGCAAAATGAGCAATAACAACTCTGCTGATATATTAGGCAATTCATATCATGCCTGAACTGAAAAAGTGGAGGCGCTGATATTCTTTCTAGACACCTTATTTCAGCTACCTTTCAGAATAATGTATATTCGTAATCTATGATGAAACAATAGGGAAGCCATAAACAAAGTTCTATATTTAGAATCATGTACAAATATGTTAACTTACAATTACCAAAACTACATTTACCAATAGTTAAAACTGCTTTTGGTAGATAAGTTCACATATAACAGAAAAATATGTACAATCAGCTTTCCAAATAACAATTAAAAGAAATTACATAGAGCATCAGAAATGAATTTATTTTTTCATTTATAATTTTTTAAAAAATAAGTGTGATACATTTAAAAAAAAAAGTTTCAACAGATTGTTACGTATTTAAACTGATAAAACAAGTACAAGCTGATGGGAGAAAAATGTAATTTAAATAATAAGAGAAGAAATAATTTTTGTATTTAACTTAATGCATTACGCAGCAAGATTCAACATTACAAAGAATTTATAATAAAATCTACAAACCATAAAAATGTCATAGGAAAAGCAAATTGCACTTGCAGAATCAACTAAAGAAAAGACTTTCCTGGTGCATTTCAAGAGCTAAAAGAACAACTTATCCTGCAAGGTTACATTTAAAATTCTCCAGATTACATCTGCATGCTTTAATAAATGCATTGAAATGTCACTTGTTATCAAAGTATATTGAAATGTCAAAAACGAAAATTTTTTTTTGTCGGCCATACACCTGTCATAAACTCCAGATCTCAGTGTTTTGAAGATAAGCATTCAATTACCAAACCTTCATACAATTCCTATTAGTTTGGGAGGAAACTTGTTTTTGAAATATTTCTGTTTCAAGGTCTATGTGTTATCAATCTCTAATCAGAAGCCATGCAGCAAGAAACATTGAATTTTAAACACAGAAGTGATATAGAATGGAATTAAAAATAATGAGTTTTATGACATAATTTAAAACTACACAAGATTCAATTTTAATGATTTTGTTTTTAAATTATTCATTTTAAGGAAGACTGATATATTTCTTTTTTTGCAAACAGCAAATATATTTATGTACGAACTGGTCAGAATAATTTTATAAGACAAAATAAGAAAGCCTTTAATCTACCAACAAAACAAAATCAAATTTGCAAGGCAAAAGTATTGCAAACTTAGACTTTTAGTGTGCATATGATACTACATAATTATAGGTAGCTTTTGAAGCAAGTTTTCCTAGACTAATGAAAAAACATTAATCACATTTGCTTAAACAGCCTTTTTTAACACAACATGCCCCAGAGAAGAGCAGAAGAACGATAAGCAAATACTGATATTCAAAAAGATGCTTAATGTGAAAAGATACTAAAATTTGCTTAAACATGTATATGATAGTCAAAGGATAAAAAAGTAAAAGTGGAGATTTCTTTCTTATTAAGTACTTTACAAGAAATTATTTCTGAACATAAAAATAGATTATATAGACAAAATATAGAATTACTTTATGAATTATTATTGCAAAATTATTTATTGTATCCTATACAGCGATTTTAAATGTATGATACTTGAAACAATAGTAAAATTACCCAAAAGTAAATTTAAAAAATATGGTGCACATAACAAGCAATTATTTTAAATTAGTGCGATTATACAAAGTTTATGGAGATTATGTTACACTTTTAAATATTGGATAAAATAATCTGGCCAAATGTCAGAAAGGCTCCAAACTTTAATTACTAATTTCAAAATAATCGCAGCAAACACTAGACAGATGTTCGGCTTGTTTGATTACCAGATTCCCCACCCACAAATTATTTCCTGCAGAAATATTTAAAAGGCCATGTTGATGAAAATAATTAATCTGAACTGAAATTTGTGAAAGTAGACTTATAACACACGCCAAAAAAAAAAAAAAAAGGGGGGGGAGCAAGTAAATAAAGTATTAACTCATGTTATATGCTAGTTCATTACTTATAACATTGGGAGCAATTAGAATTACTTATGTAAGCTAGCATTATTTGTTAAAGTTGTGCACTGCTGTTTGTAAATGTTACTGTTTCGTAATATAGGGCTAGCATAAATGATTCATTCGTTTTGAAAAGGCTATATTTTCAAAAGTATTACACGTACACACATGGAAGATATATGAAAAGAATCACAAACTCGCTAAGTTGATATTCAGTGATGAAGCAATGTTTCACTTATCCGGGAACGTGAATAGTCACAATGTGCGAATCTGGGGCACGGAAAACCTATATCAGTCGTGACAATTGAAAGAGATTCGCCAAAGGTGAATGCTTTCTATGCAGTATCACAAACAAAGATGTTTGGGTCATTCTTTTTCGTGGAACAAATTATGACTAGTATATGTTACCTGGATATGTTGCAGTTACGACTGCTCCCGGAACTAAGTGCTGACTTCACGTATTTTGTCTTCCAACAATACATGGCACCCCCTCATTGGCACATCCCAGTTCATGAATATCTATATGAACTTTCGCATTGCTGGATATGCGTATTGGTGAGAATGACCTAGCTTTGTTCCTCTGATTTAACGTCCTGCAACTTCTTCCTGTGGGGTTATGTTAAGGACCTTGTTTACATCCCCCCACTACCGCAATCCTTAGTTGTAGTTGAGTTGAAAGAATGCATTAGTGCTGCAGTGCAGATAATTGACAGGACTATGCTATAAAATGTAAGGAATGAGTGCAATTATTTTCCCTGGATGTGTGTCATGCCACCAAATGGCCACATATTGAACATTTGTAGAGGGTGTATAAACTTAGCAAGTTTGTGGTTCTTTCCATTTTTATTTCATGTGAGTATGTGTAATACTTTTAAAAATATAGCCTTTCCAAAATGAATGAATCATTTATGTCATCCCTGTAATTTTTAAAGAATTTCAATGATTAAATTCAGACAAAATTCCTTCGGTACTTATGTATTATCGCAACCAGGTTGGCACGATTGGTAAGTTTGAGTAAAAAAGTATGAATAGAAAGAAAATGTACATTTATTAATTACAGATAATTTTTAATACAGTTTTTTATATTATTTTGTTTTAAAATATAAAATAGCAATTAAACCCTTCCGGTTTCAAATTTGAATAAGTTGCAGAATTATTTTTTCAGCGGAAATCTTTTGGCTATTGCTGTTAGCACTGATTTAAAACCGCCTTCGCCATTAACAGCTTGAGCTTGGCGCCATATAAATTCGATAAGGTATGAGTCAAGATGATTACGGGCTGTTCCTCTCTGTTTTTTGTTGCGCCATTTGGATGAGCCCCACATGCGCTCTACATGTTGTGTGTGAACGCCCGTGTTGGGATCCACAAAGTTATATTTGTGATTAACAGTTCCATGCAGAAATCCAGCATTTTCGAATTCACTTGTATTGTATCCTTTTCAGCAATCCGAATAAATGATGCTTCCTTCCTTGATATTTTCGCAAATTTTTTCCATGAGGGTAACGGCGCTTCTGTTAGGTACAGTAACCAAAAAAAGTAATTAAAGTATTTCAGGGCATTCAATCTAACCAGTAAGAAAAATAATTTCTTTACGAAAAACTATGTATAACACATAGGGTTACTATAAGTAGGGTTGCCAAATTTGGCGATTTATGCGAATTTTGGCCTGGTTGCGTTAATACGTAAGTACCATTTCTTCTTCTGCTTACAATGAATACTTGTAGTGGAACAGTCAGAATTACTAAAATTGTTAATCTTCAGTCCAATTATTGATGGGTGAATGGTCATAGGGTTTTCAATGTATGTGTCATGATAATGAGACAGTTTCTTTCAGAGAGACCTTTTTAAGCTGATAGCCATAGGGACACTGTTCTAATAAATTAGTTACCTCTTCCTACAGCAACTATAAAGATGCAATGCGATTAAAGATTAAAAATAATGCATAAAAGTTATCTTAATACCTTCAATAAAATATGATTAACTTACTCTTGAATCTTTGAAGCATTTCTTGGGCATCATATCATTACTTGAATCAAGTACTTCAAAGGAATCCAAAGATTCTGTAGATGACTTTTCTTTTGTGTTTTCAATGCAGTCTTCTGAATTCATGGACATACATTCTTCTTTAAAGTCATGTTCCTTTCCTTCTGAAATATCCAACTTGCCTTCTAAATCATGCTTTAAGAAAAATCAAAAACAAATGTTAGAAAAGCAGAATTTTAACAAGTTCTGGTTATATGCTAGCTTTTTATAATAAAATTAAAATATAAAAATAAATTTAAAAAATAACTTCTTAATTATGAATTTAATACAATGTAGCAAGCACACAGCATTTTAACATTTATATTTTTAATTAGATGGCACTAAAAAAATTTTTAGGTTCTGAAAAATTATTAGCATGTTTTAAAATTCAAAATAAAACTCAAGTTCTCTTTATATACTGCTAGCAAATAAAATAAATTTTCAGCTTTAGCATATAAATATAATCTAAATGAATTATTATACTGTAGACAAAAATTAAAGTATATTGAATATCAAAAGGTAAACAACAGATATAAAACAGCACACTCGAATGATTATCATAAAATGACAATTCTTGCAGATTCTTGCTTAAGATTTTATAAAATTATTCAGAATTTAAAACATGTATCAACATGTACGAGATGAAAATATAATGTCCGGATGAAGTATTCAGTTCTGTACAAATCAGTATATAGTAATTAATAAATACACATGATTCTTTAAATATCTTTGAATTTTCATAATAAGTATGTAACTTAACAGTTCATTTAAAAACACTCTTAAAACTCTTTTCCTGTTTTTAATCATTCTGATAGCCAAAAGCATTATAAACTGAATCATAACAACTTTAAATTTGAATTTTTCATTAAGTGAAAAAAGTACCAGTTACCCTTTTTCATATTAGAAAAACTTAAAACTTACTTTATTAATATGAAGCAGATATGTTTGAAGAATTAGATGGCTCGAAAATTTTTCTCTCAAGGAAATATTTAGCATTTGCTTATTGTGGATTTTGTTTTGTTATGATAGCATGTGGTTTGGTTACTGAAATATGGTAAAACTCACAAGGGCTATCTGCCTAAGAGGTGGGATGCCTCAGTCAAAGATTTTCTAAGGAAACTGATTTACATTCATGTTAAGCATGGAGAAATTTAACCATGCAGCCAGACAATTCAGCTGGGTTTGAATCCGGAGTGGACTATCAACAATCAGCAATCTTCACTGCTTGGACACTGATGGGGTTATTATGATAGTGATTTTTTACTTTTTAATTACAGAAAGTTTTATTGAAAAATTACTTTTGAACAAAAGTATGGAAAACTTGCTCATTCCAGGATTTTAAAAGACCCTATGGAAGTGATACTTGAAAAAGAACTTTAAAAAATATATACAGTCAAAAGTCGTTAATCCGGGCTCGGCGGGACTTCGGCGATTCCGGATTATAGATCATCAGTTTAAATCTGGTCAGATGGCATGCAGAAATTATAAAATTAAAAATATGAAACCGTAATTTATGAAATAAAGAACAATTATGATCTAAAGGGTATCAAAATTTACAAAAAAAAAAAAAAAAAAAAAAAAAAAAAAACCCTTAATTTATTTGTTTTCTTTATTAAAACATTTCTTTCAATGTAAGTTGTTTAAGTTGCTTCGTTTTATGTGATAATACTTTCTCTTTAATTCTATAAAAAGACATAATTTCTTCTTCAGTTACAAAGTTCCGCTGTTCAAGTCCTATAATTGCTGTGTCGAGAATACCGACTAATTTGTCAATCCAAATTTTTTCGTTTTCAATAACCTCTGTCACTTTCTTCGCTATCCGAAGTGAATTATAATGACGAGGAATTTGATTTAAATCATACCAAAGACGGAGTACATCAAGATGAAATACTACATTTAGTAAAGAATTATAAGCCAAATAAAATAAAAACATCTGCCCTGAAGATAAGGATAGTGCTGACAGATCAAACTTCCAATTCATTGTGCACGCAGCAGCGTTAAAGATAAACAAAGTTTAGATAAACAAACGTTAAAGTTTAGATAAACAAAGGATATGCCTTTATCCATTTTTTGCAGCAATTCCACTTTTTGTTTAATGGACTTCGAAAACATACTTTCGCTTTGCAGATCCTTTACATATTAGTAAATATATACCAAAAATTCTATTTGACATAATCGAAAGTTCAAGCTTACTTCTATAAAATTGCTCTAACAGTCTGCAAAAAATAATAAGCTGAATCCAATTCAAAGATTAAGGAACAACGCAATCTGCAACATTAACTGATTGAGATAATTTTAGCTTAGCTTATACCGTCCGTTATACATTAAATGCGCATTCGTAAACGTATTTTGCGCACACGCATATTCGCAGCCGTAAAGGTCTTACGTGCATGCGTCAATGCGACGCATGTGCAGAAAGTTTGTAGCTTTGAGGTCCGGATTATGGGTGTCCGAATTAACGATTTTTGACTGTATCAGATGCAACAGAAAACTTGATAACTTCCTGTTCATCATTAGAAATTTATGAAGAAATTATTACATAAACACACTTTAAATACTCAATATAAATGTGCATTTGTTACTTGTAACAATAACTCAAAAACTGTCACATTATTCAAAAACACGAGGCAATGAAGAATTTTGTAAAGTAACATATTTGGGTTATTTATATAGTAACTGAAGATGATTTTTCTAAATAATGACAGGTTAATAGAAGGCTAATCAATGCACAATTGAAATGAACTGCAATCTTTCTTTGTTATGGACTTACTCCATGTTCCAAATCTAAAAAAAAGTTATAATTCTGAAAGGAAAGTAAAATTTAAAAACAAGGGATATTCTTAAAATGCATTAAAATTGAAAAACAAATGGTATTTTTAAAATGCAGACAATTGGCAGGACTATGCTATAAAATGTAAGGAATGAGTGCAATTATATCCCCTGGATATGTGTCATGCCACCAAAGGGCCACATATTGAACATTATACATCAAAATTCACCAAAGGAAAATTATTACAAATTTCAATTTTAAAATGCAACTTAAAAATTTACAATTCTAAAAAAACCAATAAATGCATATGAGAACAATAAAGCTATTCACACCAACACATCATAATGGGTTATTTAATAGTATGCACTTAACATAACAGGAGTTAAAAATACTATATTAAAATGAAAATTTCCATTATGCTCAAAAATTTGAAATAGATACTAAATGACAAACCTTATCAGAATTGGATATTTCTGGGTTAAAATTTAAATCAGATGCACTTTTATTGGTTGCATGCCTATCATTCAAATCCAAAGATGACCTATTTTTATTTTCAAATGTTCCAAGAGTTCCATATTCCTTAATCAAATTTTTTAACTCATCAAATGAAGAAACGTAGTCTGTTTTATTTCTGAACCAAATACTATCCAACCTGAAAAACAGTTTAAAAATTAGCATATTGTTAACTATAAATTATGAGAAAAAGATCTGGATAGATTTACAAAAAATTAGATACGCTAAAATTTATTAAATGAATAGAGCATTACAGTTGAGTATTTAAAATGTCTTCATAATAATAACAATAAAAGCTTCTATTATACATATACAGTCAAAAGTCATTAATCCGGACTCGTTGGGACTTCGGTGATTCCGGATTATAGATCATCAGTTTAAATCTGGTAAGATGGCATGCAGAAATTATAAAATTAAAAATATGAAACCGTAATTTAAAACTGAAATAAAGAACAATTATGATCTAAAGGGTATCAAATTTTTAAAAAAAAAAAAAAAAAAAAAAAAAAGCTTAATATTTTTTGTTTTTCTTTTATTAAAATTTCTTTCAATGTAAGTTGTTTTAAGTTGCTTCGTTTTTATGCGATAATACTTCTCTTTAATTCTATAAACAGACATAATTTCTTGTTCAGTTACGAAGTTCCGCTGTTCAAGTCCTATAATTGCTGTGTCGAGAATACCGACTAATTTGTCAATCAAAATTTTTTCGTTTTCAATAACATCTGTGTCACTTTCTTCACTATCGGAAGCGAATTATAATGACGAAGAATTTGATTTAAATCATATCAAAGATGGAGTACATCGAGATGAAATACTACATTTAGTAAGGATTTATAAGCCAAATAAAATGAAAATATCTGCCCTGAAGATAAGGATAGTGCTTACAGATCAACTTCCAATTCATCGTGCACCGAGGCGTCCCCCCCAGAGCAGCGTGAAATTTATAAACAGATTTCGGAATGGTTAGATAAACAAAGGATATGCCTTTATCCATATTTTGCAGGAATTCCACTTTTTGTTTAATGGACTTCGAAACATACTTTTGCTTCGTAGATCCTTTACATATTAGTAAATATATATCAGAAATTCTATTTGACATAATCGAAAGTTCAAGCTTACTTTTATAAAATTGCTCTAACAGTCTGCAAAAAATAATAAGCCGGATCCAACTCAAAGATTAAGGAACAACGCAATGTGCAACATTAACTGATTTAGATAATTTTAGCTTAGCTTATACCATCTGTTATACATTAAACGCGCATTCGTAAACGTATTTTGCACACGCGCACACGCATATTCACAGCCGTAAAGGTCTTACGCGCATGCGTCAATGCGATGCATGCGCAGAAAGTTTGTAGCTTTGAGGTCCAGATTATAGATCCTTCTGGATTATGGGTGTCCGAATTAAGGATTTTTGACTGTATATTAAATTTAAGTTACACAATGAAATTCTGAAATACAAAGAAATATATTTACTATAAATTTTTCCCTGGATTAATGCATTCTAAATTTGAGAAACTGCACACATATAAGCAGTGGCAATGCTTTAGTCAAAATCATAATTATAGTCAAGAAAATAAGACACTTAGAAAATTCAATACAATTTAGCTGTACTTATATTAAAACATATGACATTTATTTCACCAATCTAAGTTTACCTTTGATAACTTTTTAGTAGGAATAAAATTAACAATAAAAATGTTTTCCTTTTTTTCTAAAAAATGTCAAGCTATTTTGCAAACTTGAAAAATAGTGCTCTCAGAAAAAAGAAATTTTGATTTTTTTAATAACATGCAAAATTTCTATGCTAAAACTTTTCAGTTTGTTTTAAAGTTTGAAAGGTAAATACTACACACATTTATTAAATGTCATATACTACAACTACTCTTCTCTAAAAGAATAATCTGTAAAAGCTACACCAAATTTTCCAATTTTTTTTAAGAAGAAAGCTATTTTCATGCCTGTAATGCATGTATTACTCTAAATTAAATTACTGATACAATAAACAGTTTTTTTTTAATTCCCAAATTTAAAAAAATCTACTTGAATAAATTCATGCTATTTTATTTAGGAAATTTTTTCAAGTTGTTAAAAGCACATAATTGATTATTTTGAATAAGTTTATATTTTACTTATATATTAAATATTATGCTTTAGCTACAAATTTAATTTATTCAACTTTATGTTTAACTCTTTGATGGTCATTGATGAGCTAAGCTCGCAGGCCAGTTACATACCACAAACAGCACTAACAAACCAGCTCCCATTACAAATTTATGACTAACACATATTGCACATATTTGAGGAGAAAGAATTGATTACTCTTACAACTTCTGAAGAGTTTTACTGAATTAGTGAAATAGATTATTCCTTCCATAATGTAGAAACAAATTTATAAAGCTGTAAACAATTTACAATTTAAATTGGTTTAAAAAATTAATTAATTAATGCAAGAAGAATAATTTTTTTAAATCACAGTTTCATTTTTCAATCATATTAATACTTAAATTCATTGAAATAATTGATACCAAACATTAGTTTCAAAATTTCAAAAATAAGTTTATCACAAACACTATATCACCATTAATGATACCACAGCCCCTGAAAGGAAAGTAAGATTACCAATACATTGCTAATGCATTAACCCATACATATGCACTCAATAGTACTATATGCTAACCAGAGCTACCGAGATGGACGTACGATGACCGCCGAATGAGGCTCAGCACTAACAAGATTTCTGACAGGTTCTAGGTATAATGTAAAACAGCAAGTGATGTAGTGGTGAAATGAAAATAAAAGGGCACTAAAAAAACTTTAACCAAAGAATTCTTGAATTCAAAGAACAACTCATGACCAGAGTTTGGACTGGCATTGCGAAGTGATGCGAATACTCACACTACTTGTTGAGAAGAAGTTGGATTCCATTTGTGAGCTGCAGCAGTAAACTGAATATTCATCTCATTTGTAATGAAGAAAACATGTTGTTGTGGATGCTAGAATAATGGGACAGCAATAAATGGAGAGAAATTATGTCACGTGTTATAGCATTACAATAGATGTGCATGGACCTGGTGAATGTTAGGTAAGCATTACCGTATTTTTCGCCGTATAAGACGCACCCAATTTTAAAGGAGGCAAATCTAGAAAAAAAAAAGATTATGAACCAAATTCTGTAGTAAAATATTTTATATCAACTGTATAAAGTTAACAGCAGTTTAAGAAAAATTTTATGTCAACCATGTAACATACTAAGAGCTATCTTTACTCTCATAAACAGTCAGCAAACAGTGAAAGTAACAAAATAAGGCTGTCATGTTTTATTCTAACCCCAAGAATTCCTCTTCTTCGCTGCTATCAGAAATGAGGAAGGAAGATCCACGCAGTCATGTCATCACTTTCTTCTCACTGGTGTCAAATAAGACATCGTCTTCTGTTCCATCCAAGGCATTACTAATGCCACACTTCTTGAATGATTTTACAACATGTCTTCTTTACGGAGTCCCATGACCTTTTAACCATTCACACACTTGTGTGATAGTGGCCTCTTCATCCGTCCAGTAGGAGTCAGATCATGTTCTCACTGCCATCCAGGTGTTCCACTCCTCTCGCATCAGAACTTATGAGACTCTAAAAGTGCACAAAGCCAGCGAAGGCACGCGCCCTTCGCTCAGCCAATCGCAGCGCGAGCAGAGACCGTCCAAACAGTGCGAGGCAGAGCGGGGCTTCCTGTCTCAGACGGCGCCAGGGTGGAAGGGAACGGAGTGGCCGAGTATTCTGCGGAAGGTATGTAGGCAGAGGTGGAGGGGCAGCGGAGGGCCATGGTGGCTTTTGTATTTGCCGTATAAGACCAGGCACTTCCCCCCTGATTTGGGGAGAAAAAGTGCGTCTTATACAGCGAAAAATACGGTACATACTAAAGCCTCTTGCCCCAATTGTAAATTTTGGTGGAAAAGAATTGTGGTATGAGATTGTTTTGTTTTTGGACCAATAGCATTTTGTGCCTTGGATGCTGAAGCCAGGGAGACAATCATGGACAATGTAGAATCCACCTAGACAGCAATTTAAAATTCCCACTTATTTTCAGAATGACAACTTACGTGTTTATAAAAGGAAAAAAGGAAAAAAAAAAAAAAAAACATTACATAAATAATTTGAAATTTCAACTTAATCAACATCTTTAGGATGAGTTGGAGTAGCAGATGAGAGCTAGACCAAACCAATCCCAAAAATCTATGAAATTGTTACGCATGGTGCAGAATGAATGATAGAAAATATTCATAGACATCTACCAAAAACCCAATAGAAAGTCTTCCACATATGTAACAATAACAAATAGTGAATCTATATCATACTGATACCATACCAGTTTTAGTTATGCAGTTTCCTAATAGGGTTTAGTCATTAATGGAAATATAGCATAAATGGCATACCTTAAATAAAACTTTTAAATATTTGCCAAAATTATAAACCATATACAGTACAAAGTCTTTAATCCAGACGTCCATAATCTGGACCTCAAAGCTACAAACTTTCTGCACGTTTACGCATAATAAGTTTACGCATGCACATTTAATGTATTACGGACAGTATAAGCTAGGCTAAAATTATCTAATTATCTATTTCAGTTAATGTTGCAGATTGCGTTGTTCCTTAATCTTCTAATTGGATCCGGCTTATTATTTTTTGTAACTGTTAGAGCAATTTTATAAAAAGTAAGCTTGAACTTTCGATTATGTCAAAAAGAGTTTCCGATTCTGGAGCTGCCAAAGAATCTACAAAGCGAAAGCATGTTTTGATGTACTGCTTCTGTTAGTGAAGAAAGTGACAGAGAGATTATTGAAAACGAAAAAATTTCGATTGACAAGTTAGTCGGTATTCTCGACACAGCAATTACAGGACTTGAACAGTGGAACTGAACAAGAAATTATAAGAACAAGAAATTTATAACAAGTCTGTTTATAGACTTAAAGAGAAAACATTAGCACGAAAAACGAAGCAATTTAAACCACTTACATTGAAAGAAATGTTTAATAAAGTAAACAAATAAATATCAAGCCTTTTTTTTTTGTAAATTTTGATACCCTTTAGACCAGCGTTTCCCAATGCAGGGCCCACGGCCCACAAGGCGGCAATGCGACTGTTAAGGGGGCAATTCGAAAATGGACTCTCCAGAGTTTAAGGGGACAAAGGAAGTTTAAATTTCTATATATGCTTCAAGAAGTAAAAAATTTTCAAAATTTCATTTTTTATTTCCCAAAATAAAGAAAAATGTAAGTGATGCATACGTAAAAAGTTTTTAAATTGCGGTGCATTTTAAATATTTTATGAAGAATTTTTGCTGTAGACATGGACATTTAAATGCTTTTAAAGGGCATTTAAATAACTGACACATTATGCTTTCCAAACGTTTTTTGCACATTTCAGCCAATGAATTTATTTTATTTTTTATTGTAGAAATGGCAATCTGTATATTATTTTCCCCTTGAGTGGCAACAGCAGCTGCTTTCAGCTTTTTTTATATTGATTTTATATTTATTTCTTTCAGCCCTTAGCGAAATGAGGGGTGCAAGCAAGAAAAAAAGTTTGTCAGTATTCGGAGGTATATTTAAAATTTGGTTTCATACCCGGTCGATAAATGGTCACCTTTTGCCTTTTATGCCAATAATGCCTGACCAATGAATCAATGAAACTAGGTCGTCTTGAAGCACATTTGAAAACAAAACATAATGCTGATATTAATTAAGATTTGAATTATTTTTACATTTTAATATTACTATTTTTTTCAAAAATTTTCCTTAAAGTCTCTAATTACTGCTCATAATGCAACTGTTAATCATGCTCTTGAGGCTATTTATCACATTTCATTACTCATCACTTAATCTGGGAAAAGCCATACTATAGGGGAGAATTTAATCAAACCATAAATATCAGCATTTAAAACTGTTCTAAAAAAAATGACAAAGACGTTAAAGCTGTGCCACTAAGTAACAATACTGTTTGCAAAAGAAAGATGAAATGAGTGAGGATATTGAAATACAATTTGTTGAAAAGCTGTAAACAAGAAAATTTTCGATGCAAATGGATGAACCAACTTTGAGAGACAGTGAGGCTGTACTTGTTACTTATGCAAGATATATTCATAAAGGGATTTTGCCGAAGAAACCTTCTGTAAATCGTTAGAAAGCACCACTACCTCCAAAGATATTTAAAGCAAGCTAAAAATTACTTATATATAAAAAATATACCAATAAAAAATATAATACATCTTGTACTGCAGATGTGGCTCCTAATATGATGGTTGAAAAATAAAATAAATCACGGAATTTGAAAAAAGGTTGCTTAAAATTGACAAAAGATGAGAATCCAGAAATGCAACTTGTGCATTGCGTTATTCATAAAAACCTAGTTAAAGTGTATCAGTGCTATAAAAGCTAGGGCCAAATGTAAACGTCTTTTCAAGTTATTTTATGAAGAACAAAATGAAGACTATATGAGACTTATACTTCACACTGAAGTAAGAAGGCTGTCGAAAGGGAACTGTTTGGAAAGATTTACAGAACTATTTGATACTCTTAGTTATTTTTTAAGTGACAAACCTGAAATGAAAAATCTGTTAACGGATGATAACAAGCCATTTGTGAATTATTTAGCCAATATCTTTGAAAAATTAAATATATTAAATAAACAACTTCAAGAAGCAAATAAAACTTATGTCGATGCAAACGTGGTTTGATTATCTTTGATTCAGTTTGATTCGGTTTCATTATCTTTGTTGAATTATGTCAGGCATATACTATTTACCACAAAAATTTTGAAAAGTTTCATTGGCTCTAAAAATGTGATGTGACGGACACTGCTATACTTGTTATTGTCGATCATCTGAAAAATTTATCGGCTGATTTAAGATTTTGTTACTGAAACAAAATTGATTTCCCAACTATTTCCCAATGCTAGTGGATTTGGCTGATATTTCAGATATGCAGTAAAAGGAAGAACTCGCAGAAATGTAAATGATGAGTCAATTAAATCTTTATTTAATATAAAAGGAGTGATGACATAGCTTTGTGAGGAAACCAGAATCTGATATCCAAATGCAACAAAATTTGCAAGAGAACTATTGTTACCATTTCCATCTTCATATATTGCTGAATGTGGATTTAGTGCCATAAATGATTTGCTGCTAAAAATGGAAAAAAAAAAAAAAAAAAAAAGAAAAAAAAAGAAAAGAAATCTGTTGGATATAATGAAACGGGGAGACTTGAGACTCAGGTTATTTAAATTGCAACCTTACATAAAATCTCTTTGCAGCAAATATCAAGCGCAAGGAACTCGCTAAATTTAAATAATACAAATTACAAATACTTAAAATAATATTAAAAAATATTTCACTAAAAGGAGTTTGTTCTTGAATTTCAGTTTTCCATGTTTTGAAAGTTCACTTACTGTATTTGCTCACAAAATTTTGTAGTCATTACTTCCTAAAAGGTATCATTCAAATTTCTTTTGCGAACATTTCAATTTTTAAATATTAAAAATTTTGTATATGCTAGGAGGAGCTTAATAATTTTAGAGAGGATTAGGTGGGGCATAGCACAAAAAAGGTTGGGAAACACTGCTTTAGATCATTGCTCTTTATTTCCTAAATTACGGTTTCATATTTTTAATTTTATAATTTCTGCATGCTTTCTTACCAGATTTAAATTGATGATCGATAATCCAGAAAAAACCCTAATCCGGAATCGCTGAAGTCCCAATGAGTCCGGATTAAAGACTTTGTACTGTATCATAAAACAGTAAGAGTTATCCCATAGACCATAAAACTTTTACCAAGCAGCACAATTCAGCAGTAATTACAGCTAAATGCAACGTAACAACACACTCATAATATCTGCAGTTTAATCTGAGGTAACCCTGATTTTCTGTAGGCCACCTTTTGTTTTTACAAACAAGGATGTAAAATAACTGTTATTATTGCATTTTGTCCTTAAACTTTTTTCTGGGAGAGGATTAAAATTTTGGACCTACCTTCTACAACACAGAAAGCAGTGATTTTTTTTCAAAGTTGTGGGATTCTACTGTCAAAAAAAGGACATATTTACAATAGGAAAAAAAAAAAAAAAATGATACGATATGGCTGAATGGTTTGGTTCATTTGATTATGGCAAAGCACTCAAGGGCTATCTGCCTAAAAGAAGGGATGGATTCCTGGAGGACTTTCTAAGGAAACTGGTTCATATTACACATGTGGTCAGCTGAATGTGACAGACAGAACAGTAATACACTGAAACATTTACCAGCAGGACACTTTGTTCTAAACAAAACTTTGGGTAAAACTGAAGGAGATAACACAATAAAAAATGATAAAAGCCTTTTTTTGAATTGCAGAATGACACAGGTAGAATTTTGATTATTTATAAAATAAAGGGACATGATTTCCTTCAGAATTCTGCAGAAATCATTGGCAAAATATTGGCAGGATCTCTGCCAATTTTTGGGGTGAATACGATAATACATAAATGAACAGGATAATACTGATTTTAATAGTCATAATCAGTAGCACTTATTAGGAATATTATTATAACTTGCTCATCATTTGGAAAAATCTGAACAGTGCCAAATATTTACTTGGTATTATTTGGATTAGCCATTTCCTTTATAATATATGAATTCCAATACTGATATATGTCATCCACCTTTCCACACAGCTCAAGCTCTCTTTTTTTCAGAAGTGCAGTTAGCTCTATTATCTCTGTTTTAATTTTGTGTTTGACCTAGGAAAAATTAATATATATTTATTTATAAGTATCTTCACATGAAAATTATCTATGCTATATAACTAATATATTTATTATAATGCAAATTTTGCATCAAAACAAAAAATCAATATAAGTGATGAAACAAATTCTTTTCATATAATTAAAGAATTTAAATAATTACAGCAAGCAATAGCAAGAAAAATATTTCTAATTCTGATAGTCTTGACAAAACTATGAAAGTTAGGTACTTTTCCGTTTTGTCAGCGCAAACGATTAAAGTCGCCAATAATGGTACAACTGATGCCAAAAGGAATACCTTTGCTGGTAACTTTTTACGCTTCATTTTCAAAAGAAGTCGCAGCCATTTCTTATCAGATTGATTGTTTCTTTCAATACTGGCATACAATTACATAAAATTTTTACTTAGATAGTTAAATTTTATGCCCAAGATCATTCGCCGTAATTAAGTCAATTAGGATGCAATCACACCGCTCACTCGAAGGCGAAAATATAGAAAAGGCAAAATCAAGTGTTAAATTCATCAATTCTAATGAGAATGCACTAGCGAAGTAAAGCAATGCAGTTTTACACAATTTCTGAGTAAGCTATTTGTACAAATTGAAATAATTCTTGCATTTAAACTTGTATTTCAAATTAAGATTTAACTTGAAATAATGTAGATAATTACTGAGAGAATTAGTTTTTTGTAGCGTAGTTTATGTAGGATGAGATCACTTGGGGTCACGCGATACGAACTGGCGAATCAGGATGTTGAACCATGAAAGCATAGTAAATTTTAAATTAATGTCTTTTTACAAATTTATTGTCTTTATTTACTGGCTTTTTACAAAATTTTAAACCATATTAAAATGTTTATGCCCTTAAAATAAAATTCTTAGAACTAACATTTGTTAAAATTTTTTATGTATATACTGTATGCTGTCACCTACAAAGTCTGCTTGGCCAGATTTGTGCTGGCGAAACAAACGGAAAAGTACCGAAAACTAAAATTACTTAGTTCAAATTTTGAAAATCTAGAGAGTGTACTTGATACATGAAAGACTGATGTTGATAAAACTGAATGTGAAAGGATCTTACTGCATACACGCTATAAATATTTACATATATTCTACTACACCAAATAGTAATTTCACTATAATATCTTACATAAATAATGTAAATATGTCAAATTTTATTTTGCATTTACTTCCTAATGCTATGAGAATTCCCCCTTCCCCAGCTCTCCAAAATATTAATCATATCTAACGACCGATTTCATTTTGCTACCACAGCATGAAAACGAAAATATTTCATCTTCCTGAGAATGGCTTGGAAAACTACAGAGAAAGCAAGGAATGGAAAGTAACCGTCTTGGCACAGAAAGTCAGCAATTTGAAGGGTAAAGTACACATTAGTAGACAGAAGACCTATCCAGTTTAATTAACGGATAAATTAAGTCTAACTGAATTTGACTGAAATTTGTTTCTTATTAAAACTTATGAAGATGAAACAGAACATTATAACTTTAAAGAATATAATAGCATGATGCTGCTACGAATTTAGTGAGCTTTAGTGAAATATAGTATTTTTTTGTGTAATGCCACATGAAAATCTGAAAAGGCATGGCTTTGCTGGAAAAATAAGAATACAGGGGCAAGTCTATTTAACACCCAGCAAATGGCTATCTCACTAAACTGGAGATGGTTTTGGGAACTAATTTTTGTCGCCAACAATTGGCAAACTTAGCGATATTTTGGTCCAGTCCATGTATATCTGGAATTGGTATTATGATTGAATATGTGTAACTGTAGCTAAATTCAGCCCTCATAGGTCTTCACTAATTTTGAAAAGTGGATAGATAGTATTAAGAGATTTCTCAACAGGCAGCAGAAATTTATCTAAGACTGGAGACAGTATCAATTTAGTAACTGTCTAGTTCAGGGTGAGTTTAGAGTACTGACGTATCTCCGTGTTAGCTTTGCTCTTTAGATGCATTTTACACTGCATTGTCATACCTGCCAACCTCTAAAGATAAAAATTCTGAAGATTTCTCCCCCAAATTCAGAAGATTTCTCCAAAATTCAGAAGAACACGAAGAATTAATATCATGCTTTGATATTAAAAAAATAACAATTTATACAAATAGAAAAAAGAAAAATTGTAATTTACATTAGTAAATCTCAATTAAGTAGTAACTAAAAAATTTATTAGGAAACGTAAAACAAGAACTTAATGTTACATAAAAAAATTATTACAATGAATTTAGAGTACATTTTTTGGCTTTAGCCAAAAATTCTTTGGAAAATTTCCTGTCATAACAATTAGTTTCCTCATAACAGTCAGAAATTAAAATATTTTGTACAGTTTTTGGTGAAATTGAAGAACGAAACATAGTTTTGCGTCTCCATTTAACAATGGAAGACGCAAAAGATGAGTTTTCATTTCATTAGAAACATCACAGAAATATGTGACAACGATGGGGTAAAGCTTCCAATCGCTGTCGTTGCTGCCATCGATTGACACCGAAAATGCTGAATTCTGGAGTGCAGCTATCATTTTACTTTGTGCATTGCAAGCAATTTCTTCACAATAGAAGATGTTTTCGTGTGAGCACAAGCATATTTCTGAGCAATCTTGGAGTCGGGAAACATCCGTCTGAAAAGTTGACCGGTGTGATCGGCAGCACTTAGCGGCACGTTGTGTTCGATGAGGAATGCAGTAAGCAAACACTCTGCCAAAATGACATCGGCAACCGAATTCGTAGCCGAATTTGAAAAAAAAAAAAATCATCCACTTTCTTTGACATTGTCGATGCTTAGTTAGACGTTGTCAAAGCATTAACTTCATGTTTTAGACTTAACATGCTTCACAATGTCGCTTCTTCCACCATGACTTATTATGAAGTCACACACGCACACGTTGCAAAATGCATAGTTATTTCCTTTGAAGGATTCTTTATTGTTGGAAATTCGGCTTTGTAGGCAGGCCGAAACATACTTTTGTTTTTCTTCACAATACGGTTTTTTTGAACTCATTTCGTAACAACGACGTATTAAGAAAATTCGTAGCACGTGCAAACAAAAAACAAACAACAACAACAACAAAAAATAAATAAATAAATAAAACAGAATGCGATAATCCACGCTCGCTCAGTCCGAGCTGAGTAATTCCTTTGCTGCTGAAGCGAACACGAAAAAAATAATCTGGCGCCCACAAAGAAAAGAGTGGGAGAAACAAGTTCAGCGCATTGGATTGGCTGGTTAAGCGACAACCGCAGGTTACTGGATTCGAAGTAGTCGTTAGTTGGCGGTAAAACACGATGCAATTGGCAAAAATCGCTGAATTGGCGAAAAATTCTAAAATTTCGACAAAAATCACTAAAAACACTTGAAAAAGGAAAAAAATCGTAAAAAATGGATTACGATCGTAAAGACAAACGCATTTTCGTAAAAATTACGAAAAATTCATAAAAGTTGGCAGGTATGCATTGTGTTTAATGTTCTTAGCAGTTTGAAGTGTAACTCTACTGATTGTACTCTGTGATACTGTGAACAGCTGTACGAGTATTTTCGTGGAAAGTTCCAGAACAGTATACAGAAAGTATTTGTTGTGGTAAAAATAAATTTTCTCAAGCTATTATTAGTATTGTGTGCATTCAATCTATTATGAACTTGTACATAAGTAAAAATACTTAGCTTACTGAATAAAGTTATACAATCAACAGTTTTTTCATTATCAACAGCCTCATATAACATCTACTAAAATAAGAATAAAGAAATATTAATTTTGCTAAAGAAAGTTAAGAACCTCTTCAAAGCATTTGATAACATGTGGGAGCAAAATACATGAAACCTAAAAAACAGCAACTTAAAAAGGTAAGCAAGGAAGGGAGAAACAACAAGAAAGTTTAAAATTAAATTTAACTTTCTACTTACCATAAAAATTGTTCTAATAATGTAGCAAATTAAAAAAAAAAAAAAAAAAAAAAAAAAGAACTTATTATAGGTAGGCCAGAAAATGAGCAAACTTTTGTTATATGCTATTATGGAAGACAACATCTCACTGGGGTTAATTTTCAGCAGTAAAACTGTATATCATCTAAACTTTAAAATTTTCTGTCACATGGTTCACATGTGGGGATTTCATGATGAAACTGTACAGCATGAACCCAATTCACCATAGATTAAAGTACTTTATGCAACTTTTGTCAAGATTTCCAGGCCATCATTATTTTATTATTATTATTTTCTTTTCGATGGAAACACTGAAAGGTTAGTTTGAATTTTCAAAACTAAATGAAGGCTCTGAAGATTTTATTTTTTTAAAAAAATGGAGCACTGCTTCCATATGTTCACCTGTTTCTAAATGAAACCTACTTGTATCAACACTAGATAAGGTGCAGATTTCTAAGATTTCCAGGTATCATGCTACATAACTTAATTCTTATGGGAATATGCAAAAGAATGTATATGTGTTTCATCAGTACTCATTATTTGGATAAGCTCAAAGCACCTGCAGTAAATCTGATGGAAGAAGACATACTTATTTGGGATGAACTGAATGATCAATATGTTCTTATCAATGTAGCAGGTGTGTGGCAGGATCAGCATTTATAAATATGATGAATGAAATTTGAATAAACTAAATAGTTTATAATTTGTTTTGTAACAATAATACATTTTTATTTCCACACTATTATTTGAATTTGTGGGCCATTTTTTCCTCAAACACCATATACTTTCTTAATCATCATACAGTGAAGATCTATACATTCATGGATAATAAAATTTGCACTGTACATCAAAATGTAAATTATTTACAAGCTAAGGGAATATCTAGAGTTAAAAAATTTTAATAATTAAATCTTATAACAGATAATACATTCAAAATGCTGAAAAATTAATGAATAATTAACACAAAAATATATAATTTAAAACATATCAAACTAAGAAATACTCTGATGGTTTCATTTGTTAGGAATTTCTGCTCTTGTAAAAGTTGCAAAAGTGAATTTCCCAGATATTTGCACTTTGAGTTGTGAGGAGACTGAAGGCTAGACATTTGCACACAGCTGGGTTCATCTAGGAAGTTAAAAAAAAAAAAAAAAAAAAAGAATATAGATATACGATGTTAAGAAAATTTCCAATACATGAAATGCATATAAATACATAGATACAATAAAACACTGAATAAACAGGAGAGGTTTAAGTGTATGTGATTATGGCAAAGCCTCGAAGGTTATCTGCCTAAGGGGAAGGATGCCTTTATGGAGGACTTTCTAAGGGAAACTGGCTCGTATAAACATAACACACGGGGAAAACCACAAAAACGCCCATGCAGCCAGCCCATTTGTGGGATTCGAACCTCGAACCGAACTACCAGGGTTCAGTGATTTTACTGCTCAGCCGCGGGAGGGCCCTGATCTAGATATAGACTTTCAGATATTGCACTTACATGAAAATAATGTTGAGGACATTATATGGAGTCTTGTATGTTTGATATCATAGCACTTTTCCATTATGCATCAGTCACACATTTTGCAAAGTCATTTTAATTGTAAAATTAAAAGTTTTTAATTAAACAGTTTCCAGTTATAAGAATAGTTTATAGATGACAAACATACACACCACATGCCAGATGCATAATACAAAAGAATGCTATACTTAACATTTGAAATTTTAATTATTTTAAATCTATTTAAATATTCACCCACATATGGGGACCATTTACCATTCGTTGATTCACTTTCCTTACGTAATTAACTTCTTTCAAATTTGCTGGTTTGTATGTTCAATTTTTGTATTCTACCATAATAGATTTGAAAACTTGGGATTTACTGAGCAATGGAGAAGTGCCAGTTATATTCTGTCAAGATAAAGGACTTATCCATAAAGAAAGACTGCATTCAAATATTTGCCGTAGGCTAAATGGTTTTGCTATCTTCGTCATGCAGAGAAGAGTAAGCCATCTGGGGGAGGGGGAGTGGTTTGAGAACTCGCACATTCTATTTCTCACGAAAGTTTTATTCATTAGAGAATCTTAGATTTATTTATTTGTGGTGCAAACAGCTCATTTCCATTGATTTTTGTAAAAGACATTTTTAATTAAATCACAACATGATGGTGAATTAAAACAGTTATCTTTGAGAGGTTTGTTACAATTATTTGATGTCTCATCCTAAAACTTAAATCGGTGATTTTGATAAAATCGTTGAATGTTTTGTTCACAAAAAGAAAACATAACATAGGTCATGTATTCCCTCAGTGGATTTTCACAAGACTGTGAGGAGAAATGAGAAAATGTTTCTTAGTCACTATTCCAGATTACTTCATCAAGACTTTAACGGATGCAATAAGAGAGTAATCTCTCTGATGGAACAACAATATTCTCAGTCTGTGGGAAAGACGAATCATGAGAGATAAAAACTGCAGGCTATAATCATTTCATAGTGAACCATTCGTTTAATTTTATTTACTCAGTCACGTGTTATCACACCCAATCTATTGAACGTTTTTGGAGCTGTGCTAAATAGTGAAACAAATGCTTAACAGACACTGCCTATCAACATTCTGACCCCTACTTAGTACAATTCATATGACACTGCCTATATCTAAAGGCTGAAATGTCTTCAGCCATACTAGTGGATACTTGGAAATTTATGTCTCATGTTTAAAGTCCTTGTTCATTTCAGCTCATGTTTTTTTTTTTTTTTTTTTTTTTTTTTTTAAGAAATTAAGTATGAAAAAATTCTTTGTAATAATAAATTGCCATCTATAAACCTGCAGGTGCATAGCGGGGAAAATACTGATATCACAAACCAGACTTTTCTACTTATGCTCTATTTCTCTTACTTAAAATATTCCACTGCACCTAATGCATTCTTCCCCCTCCCAATATTTCTACCATATCCCTCTTATTTGCTCTTAAAAATTATTTATGATTTATTTTCAAAATGAGTCATTTAATGTTATTTTCATTTAACAGTCAGCCTGGTTTGACAATAGCCAAATAAATGAAAGTGAAAAGGTTAGAGTATATTTAAAGGTGCTCCTTGGATTATCACCAAGTTGTTTCATTTATTGCCAAATTGTTGTTTCATTTAAGGTAACCTGAGTAGTTGAATGTTCTGGAAATCCTTAGGAAAGACATTGGTTATTTTTGTGGTTTATACAATAAAATGGCTGAATGTGGTAAGATCAATTTCAATTTCTGTATGATTAAGGACGAAAAGGGAAAAGGCATTAATTGACTGGTGTGTAAATTAAGGTTTACTTAGCAGCCATTATAAGTGTCCTGTTTGTACAAAGGCAAAATACGCATGGTCGAACGTTGGAGGATATTTTTTACTCATATTTTTCTGAATTTATGTGGCAATGCTAGTATACAGATTCTAGTTCAGATAATTTTAGGAAGTTTTTGGATGCTGTTAAGGAATTTTGTTTGACTGAAGACATAAAAATTTCTAAATAAAGTAAGTGGATATTTCCTTTGTGTAGTGCTAAGACGAATTTCCTTTTTTTGTTATTTCATTGTTTGATTTAAAATGTAGTTTACTGAGATTATATACTTTTTGTTTGGCTCTAGTGTAGAACTGACTGCTCTTTTGACTTTTTAAGTGAAAATAGATCGATTTGTACATGAACAAAGTCAAGGGAGTGCCAAGTTCGTGCTATTCTCTGATGTTTTTAAGTGAAAATAGGTTGATGTGTATATGGATACCGAATTTTTGCAATTCTTTGATTCGTTGTCTTTGTATAGCACAAAAATCCAAAATAACAAGTCAAAGAATTGCACAAACTCTGTGTCTATGTACTGCCAAAAATTGCCAATTTTTGCCATGGTGCACCCATAAATATATTTTTACCAGTGAAAGGGAGTGAGTTTCATTCTGAAAGCATGTCATTTAAGCACACCACAATTAAGAGCTTAAACTGCATCAAACCTCTAAATATAGATGAACTCTGATACAGTCAAAAGTCTTTAATCTGGATGTCTATAATCCGGACCCTCAAAGCTACAAACTTTCTGCACATGCGCAAACGCACTGTGCGTTTATTATTTTTGGCAGACTGTTAGAGCAATTTTATAAAAGCAAGCTTGAACTTTCGATTATGTCAAAAAGAATTTGGATTCGTGGAATCTGCCATTAGGTGATTCTGGAGCGAAAGCAGTTTCGATGTCCACAAACAAAAAGTGGTATTGCGTGCAAAAAATGGATCTTGGCATCCTCGCTCTTGATTTCTGCTAACTGAATCGAAATCTGCTATTGATCAATTTCACACGCTAGCTCTCGGGGGGTTGGACATCGCTGACCGCGCAATGAACTGGAAGTTGATCTGTCAGCACCTATCCTTATCCTTCAGGGCAGATGTTTATTATTTTATTTGGCTTATAATTCCTTACTAAATGTAGCATTTCATCTTGATGTACTCCGTCTTTGATATGATTTAAATCAAATTTCCTCGTCATTATAAATATCATGAAATATACATCAAATAGTTTCCTGGTTGCAATTTTCTAACTTTCGACTATGTGTAATGTATGCTTTACCCAAGCGTGCGCTTGTTAAAGAAATGTTTAATAAAGTAAACAAATAAATATTAAGCTTCTTTTTTTGTAAATTTTGATACCCTTTAGATCATAATTGCTCTTTATTTCATAAATTACGGTTTCCCAGATTTTATAATTTCTGTATGCCATTTTACCAGATTTAAATTGATGATCCATAATCCAGAAAAACCCCAAATGAGGAATCGCTGAAGTCCTGATGAGTCCAGATTAAAGACCTTTGACTGTATTTCCTTTATGAAAATAAACTACAATTTCATCAAAAAAATCTTTTTGATCTTGTAACATTTTATTTTAGAAATAACTAAGACTGAAAATCGATGCTAACTTCTGAATGCATACCCGTCTTTCCCTGAGAAATAAATTATTACATGAAAATTGAGATGTTTAAAGCAAGAAAAGCAGCCACACATGTGTCAAAACATTACACTTGAGGAAAAGTACTACATTAACTTGAGGTTTGCTTCTGAACAGAAAATTTCTCATTCTCAAATGTAGTGGTGGCAATCAACCATATCACAGCTTAGTATCTGTAGATTCAGTATCAGTGGTTCCAATTTGCTACAATTTACAGCACAATGTTAAAGAAACAGCATCGTTTTATGTTCCTAAATGCTCTTTAAGTAACAATAAGCCTAACAGAGCAAAATAATACTACATACAGCTAAAATGTATCCAACATTAGTAGCTTTCAATGAAAAAGTGCCTCTGCAGATCTTTCATAACAATATAGCCAAATATCATAGAAGAAAATGGTCAGTTACACATAAGCCTACTTTTTTCTCACCTTACAGTTCAACCTTTAAATCCAGGGGAAACTTAACAGCTATAATTATATCTGCAGAGAACGTCAGAAAGTGTTTGACATTTCTTTCTTCATTTCATGTCTAGAGTTGTATGTTAAAAATGTTCAGTGCCTACGTATTACCTTAACACAATCTGGCAATTTTTAGAAATGAAGATATAAGTTACTTAACTGATGCAAACGGGCGATTTTCGCAACTTCTTTATGAAACTTTCCAAACTATTTCTATTTGTTATAAGTCGGCAAACATTATCAACATTATAGTAAAACAAAATACAGATTTTATTTGTCAAATAAGGATTATGCGATACCAAAAAATAATAAATAAATGAAACATTTTTCGCAAAACCGTTTCCTACTCTTTGAGTGAAATTTTAATACCACTCGAGCCCCAAATAAAATCAATGTCCAACATTTTATTTTATTAAACTTAATTGATCAAATGTTTATACATCTTCTTACATTTTATTCTTTTCATATGGTTTCAGTACTTCTAATTTTAGAAATTAAGCTCTGAGTATGAGTACTTTAATGCTGGGACAACTTTAAAAACGTTTTTTTTTTTTTTTTAACTGATCAACATAAGTATAGCTAATTTGCATAAAGGTGCTGGAATTTTTATGAAAACATCTTTCTAAAAGACCCATTAGGCAGCAATGGTTTTTACACCACTCATTTGTGTATCCACTGAACTTTAAAAAAAAGTTTAAGGGCACATGCTTTATTGGGAAGTACTAGGCAACCAAAGCCAAGCCTAAAGACTATAATGCATTTGCTTTACTAAAATCAGATTTCAACATTTTTCAACCATAATTTACTTTTATGTTTCTGCAGTAGTAGTTATATACTAACTTAGAGTTTATATTTAAAACATGCTGTTCATAACATTATCTATATCACTATAAAGATGTGCAACCCCAATTTTTGTAAGAAAAGAAAAACATGCTAATTTTAGCCATGCAAACTTCAAATTGCAATATATTGGCAGTCTCCTGTAAGGCATAACACAGAATAGTGGTTACATGATACTAAATATTTTACACGCATCGTTTATAACTAATAGGTATTGTACATATCTGTAGAAGTGGGGGGGTCACCAAAATTTTACCACTGATTATATGGGTAGAGTCCTGCCACACTAACTGTTCAGTTCTATCCAAAATCGGAAGAACACCCCTGAGAGTAGGACGAGGGTCTCCCACCTAGTTTAAATACGGTACTATATTATCAAAATAAGCTAAGCAGGCTAATCACCTATAGCAAAGTTTATCAAAATTCAAACACTTTCCTACACAAATACTTTTTCCCTCTGTTACTGTTAAAGAGTCTTTAAGGTATAGTTTAGCTGTCATATTCTTGTCCCGGATTAGTATTCGAAAAATGTAATCGTTCTTCAGAACTGCACTGAAACATTCCATTAAAAAAATGCTAGAAATAAATTTTATCAGTTATTGAAACACAGCCTGTTATGCATCTATTCTCACCCACAATTCAGCTAAAGGGCTATAAACAAATAACTATAAACATTACATTAAGAAATAAATAAAAGGAGATATCAATAAAAATTTTATTAAATTTTATAATAAACCAAAAATTAACTATATCTAATCTTGTACTTGAAGATAACTATTCTAAAAATCAATTTTATCTTATCTTCCTACAGATAACTTCTTTAACTTTTCCACTGGATGCGTATGATCAGCTGCTTTATTAATCTTTACTACAGTTAGCCCGATAAAAAAATTCTACGTATATAACAAGTTAAAAAAAATTTTCAAACAATAAGAATATCTTTCCAAAGGGTACAATGAATTACCTTTTCCCAGATTTCTTAACTCACAGACATATCTGTCCTCCATTTGGCACAGAATAACAACAGTACGTCTCAGTATAAAATCTAACTGATAAAAGAATAGAGCTGGAGCAAACCGCATGTATTCGTTACTGAGTAACGGGTACATCGGTTGACTCGAAGTACCGATTCGGTACTCACAAATTCATTTCGTTACTCGCATCTGTTCGTTACTCGCATCTGTCGTACGATGCGGTTTGTTCGAGTACGAATGATGCGGTTTCTATGCGAATACGAATGATGCGGTTGCTGTTCGAATACGAATGATACGGTTGCGTCACAATGCGCTCATATTTTTCATAGATAATTTTGAATTTTTTTGGGCATCGGGCAAACTCTTGTTTACATTATGTGTTTTAGTTGAAATACTATTTAGTTGTTGATATTTAAGAAAATGAGCAATTTTGATAGCGTGAAGCGTTATTTTGTATTTGCTTTTTACTATTGCTATTTATGTTTGTAATTTGAAAATTTAGATGATTCATCTTTTTTTTTTTTTTTTTTTTTTTCCTTGAGCGTGCCATAGTCAGATTTTATTGATTTGAAATATTTATATACTGCACTTAGGTATTGTTTATATAAGAATATGTAGGTTAATATAGGTTCTTTACTTCCTTGTATCAAATAAAATGGTAGTAATTATTGTAATCGAGAAAACTTTTGGGTATCATATTTTAACGGAAATATCCGTTTTTGACGATTACGGAATCCATGTGAATTATTTTTTGGGGCTGACGCCTGTACGTACGAACACAATGAAGGACTCTCTCTCTCTCTCTTTTTTTTTTTTTTTTTCAAAAAAAAAAAAAAAACTTATTGTTAAATGTAATCCCATTTACTCTAAGCTGATACTTATGACTAATGATTATGACTCTAAGTTGATACTTGAAAGGGATTTTTTTCGTGATGTGTAAGTACGTATGTATGCATTTTGCATAACTCAAAAACGGTTTAGTTATAGAACGTTGAAATTTTGTATATGGGTCCGTTATAACATCTAGATGTGCACCTCCCTTTTTATTGCAATCGGTAATACTACCAAACGTAAATATGTATATATATATATCAAATAAATTATAATTAAATGTAAATTACACACACACACACTTACTTGCTTATATATATAATTATAATAAATAAAAGCCAAGTAAGGCGAAAATAAAAGCTTTGGCTTTTATTTTATTTAATTATCACTAAATAAGTTACTTGACTTTTATTTTCGCAATCATTGGTTGTAGTCAGGACTTAATTTTTAAAATTAGAAGTGCTGGAGCTCTATGGAAGGCCATCAGGAAAGATGAATAAATAAATAAATAAAATAAAATAATAAAAAATAACTATTACAATAATAAAATAATTAGCAACTAGAATATTAAATGATTATTATTATAATTCAATAAAAATTTAAAGACAAATGAAAATTTAATTAATGATGAATAACTAAGTAATGAAATAAAATACCAGACATCGTCTTGTTTGGGGGCTGTGGCTAAAATTGCAATTTAAGAACTAAGCCGAGCATTAGCTAAATTTAGGCTTTTGATGAGCAAATAATGTACTGTTTACCAGAGTATAGATAGAAATTTGGTTATGTAGCCCATTCTTCTAAAACGACGTTTCGTAGCTGCCTTCCACCACCAATTCCTTTTTTTTTTTTTTTTTTTTTTTTTTTTTTTTTTTTTTTTTTTTTTTTCGGTTTCGGTTTATTCGGTTACAGCAAAGCACACTAGGGCTATTGCCTACGGGGAGGGAGGCCTTCGTGGAGGATTTTTTAAAGGGAACTGACTCATATGCAAGTTACACACGGGAATAACAATGAAAACGCCCGTGCAGCTAGCCGTTAGCCGGGAATTGAACCCCGGACCGAACTATTAGTGCTCAGCGACTTTACCGCTCGAGCTCTGGTGGGCTCTTTTTTTCTTTTCATTCGCTGTTTGAAAAACGGGTGTTCACTTTACGATAAAGTAAGCACCTGTTTACTTCAATTAAAATGGGTTAGACGATATGACTCTTCCTACTTTAATCTCACTTAGCTTTTGATTTCTAATATTGATTCAATGTTTTCTGTAGACAAAGTATTCTGATTAGAATAATAGATTTCAAACATGTTCAAAAGGTGTGTATCTGAATATAATTAGGTTTTTATAACATAGGGCCCATTTTATTAGTTTCACATAGTTCTAAAGCAATTGAACCACAGCATCGCTGTTTTGAAAGAAAGTAAAAATGTGAGAAATGTATAATGAACATTAATATACAAGCTTTATTAAAAGTAGTCAGCCTTTTAAAACGTGACCGTCTATGCTTTTAGAGGATTTTTGGAGCTCTGTGCATTTGCTCTGGCATCTTAAAAAAGTGATGTTCAATATCAACGTATGTTTATGTTCTCAAAAATACAGGTTTCTTTCAGAAAGCGACCTCTTAGAAGTCGTCAATAAATGATTCAGTATAGTTATTTTCTAATAGACCATAGAATAAATTTATTTTAACGTCAATTTAAAAATGGCTGCTTGTACTAAGAGTTAAGAGCAATAAGACTCTAATTTTTCTTTCGCAATTAGCTATCATGCCAGCTGAATTGTTTTCTGCATAACCTTTATTGTGTATAATTGAAATATTTAGCTATGCATTCAACAAATATACAACAAATGTAAGACAAATCATTAAAAAAATTAAAATTTGGAACATTAATGATAATTTTTTTTGTTATACATAAAATATTATTAATGAATGATGAATTTATATCATATTATATATAAATCAAAATTTAAACTCCTATTCCTTTATAATAAATTGAAGAAAAGAAAAGCTATAAAGTGAATTAATTTTTAAAAACAAAACGAAAATTTAAAAAAAAAAAAATTTGTCATATACCTAGAATCTAAAAATGACGAATACTGAATTTTACGACTCATGTGTGTATGGGTGTATTTAATTATGGCAAAGGCACACTATGGCTATCTGCCTAAGGGGGGATGGATGCCTTCGTGGAGGACTTTCTAAGGGAAACTGGCTCGTATACACGTTACACATGGGGAAAAAAAACCACGAAAACACCCATGTAGCCGGACCGTTCGCGGGATTCGAACCTCGGACCGAACTACCAGTGTTCAGCGACTTTACCGCTCGGCCGCTGGTGGGCCGTTTTACGACTCATATAATAATAAATGCATATTCATATTGTAACAGAAATTTTGTTAGAAGTCTAGCATATGTATAGTTATTTGTGATCTTTTAAAACTGTCGTAACATGATGCATATTTATCATTATCGTGAACCAAAACAGTATGCTTTACATCCTTACAAATATACGTGATAGATTTTAATATTTATTTCTGCATATACTTACGTTTCCCAAAGACACGAAAGCAAGTCAAGCAGATTTTTTTTGTTGTATTAAGCAGACTTAAGTTCTCTGTTAGCTAGTGTAAACATAATTTCGGATGTTAGTGTAACATAATTTCGGATTCTATGAGCCTTCCAGAATTATTAGCAAAATAGTGGAAACGTCTTTACAAAGTGTTTATATAAGCAAACAACAGATGTACACTGAGCAGTGATCAACTGATATATTTTTTAAATGATTTGGTTTAGTTGATTATGACAAAACACACTGGGGCTATGTGCCTAAAAAGAAAAATGCCTTCGTAGAGCACTTTCTTAGGAAAGCTGGCTCGTATGGTACGTGGTAAGCTGGCTTGTAAGCTGGTACGGGGGAAAAAAAAAACCACGAAACGCTTATGAAGCCAACCCGTTTGCCTGAGATCGAACTCAATACAAATCCCAAATAAGATGAGAACCAATGAAATAAAATGAGATTCGAACCAATACTTTCCAAATAACAAATAACTTTTGTATTTGGGGAAAGTTTTTGGAAAGTTTTATGGTCATTATGAAAAAGTGAAAATTTGATATGGATTCCGCATGACTTCCTTCTACGACTATTTAAATTATGCTTATTTTTTCTGCACTTCATTTAAACTTATTTCCTCGAATTATTCTAACTCAATTAAGCGATACCCGAAGGCAAGTTACAAATGGCATCAAACATTGCAAATTTTGAAACTAAATTTCCCGGTCAATCTTTGTCCTACGGGACTCAAACTTCTTGTATTTTTATTTTTTCATAACGAAGTATAAAACTTTGCCAGATATATAAATATAGAAACCAGAAGACGACATTAATTAAAAGTTAGATTTCATAATTTGTCCAAAATTAATTCTTTTTTAAATTTGACATTGACAAAATATGAATATTTTCGTCATTTAAAATACTTCTGTATTTTTGTTGCACCGTATTTAAACTTGCTTCCTCGAGTTATTGACATTAAATTACATTAATTCCATTATCTATCGGAAAATAATTATAGCAAATCATCTATTTACGACATCTCTAAGAGGTCACCTTTTAAGAGATCTCTATTTTTGGGAACATAAACAAACATTGGTAGTGAACATCATCTTTTTAAGACCACCACATGTAAAATCCTCTAAAAGCATGAATGGTTGCATTTAATGAAGGACCCATTACTTTTAATAAGGAATGTAACATTAATCTTAATTATACATGTTTTTGATGTGTGTGCCAAAATAGTGATAACGTACTTCTGTTGCTTTAGAAATGTGTGAAATTAAAAAAAATGGATACTATACAACAAAAATGTTATTATATTCAGATACACACCTTTTGAACACGTCTGAATCTGAAATTCATTATTCTGCTCAACATAATTTGTCTGCATAAAATATTAAATAATATTAAAAAATCAAAAGCTAAGTCGAAGTAGAAACAGTCATCTCTTCTAAAACCATTTTAATTGAAGTAAACAGACGTTCGCCTTATCGTAAAGTAAACACCTATTTTTCAAACAGCGGATGAAACGGGACGGGAAAGAGGGAATTGGTGGGGGAAGGCAGCGAACGAAATAACACTTTTTCGAGCTGGGGATGAAAATGAGAAAGGACGAAACGATACTAAGCCAATAAGACAAGATCTGGTATTTTTTTTACTTATTATTAATTAGTCATCATAAATTTAAAAATTATTTTAATTTTTATTTGTTTTTACATTTTTATTAAATTGTACTTATAAGTATTTTATATTTCAGTTGCTAATTATTATGTTACTTTAATTATTCA